AATCCTCCTAATATAGTATGAGGCGCCAAATATGGAATATTAATCATGTTATCTTGTTCCCTGATATGGAGTGATATTCCATATATGGAGTGATGACTCATATTAGCGTCAATTCATTGACTGATTCAAACAATACTTTCTCTGCTTACTGAACTGAAAACAAAATAGCCTGTGAAATGATTATGTTAATAAGGTGTCCTGACCAACTCAATATAAAAAGGGAAAATGTTGTGAAATTGTAAACAAAATAGGAAGTGGGCCTACACACTGTACCAGACACTACTAACAACTAGGATCAGTAACCTCTGCTGGCTTGCAACTAGGTAGGAACAAAAGAATTCGGTATGTTTTTCATTGTATTTCCTGTGGACTTGATCTGAAATATTTGAAACATGAACAGTTCACTTCATGGACTTTTGTAACTATGAAAAAAATGATTGTTTTACCGATGTGTTTACATTTTTGACCCCAAAAAAAATCACAGTATTATTTTTCAACTTTTTTTCTAATTTTGCTATATTCATTTCTAATTTTTAACACTTTTACTCTCTTTAGTATTTTTTGCTAAAAGATAGTTTTAACTTTTTGATCTTAGTTCAAGCAAAGCCACCTAAACGTGAACGTTACTGTTTAGTATGCTGTAATGATGGCAACTTTCTATCTTGTTCATCTCTTTTTTTTTCTCTGAAATTTTGAATTTCATTATCATTTGGTTGTAAATACATCTGAAAATATTTTAGCCAAAAATTGATATGATTAACAAGAAATGTAAAATATACTTATTGGCATCTTAAGATAATTTATATTAAAATAAAAAAAAAAACTGTTTTGTGGCATTCAGCAGTATAAATATGTTATTGCAAGCCAAAATTATTTAACTCTTCTGATCAAAGCAAAAGCATTCTCTACTTTTATTTGAACAATTTGTTTATTTGCTTACTTTCTCTGACAACTAAGTGACATTGTCCCGAATCTCTGTTCAGTCTGATGTAGGCAACTAATCTGCCTTAACCTTGATGAATGCTTATGGAATTTTTTTTTTATTAAAAACTGACAAAACTTGCTGCTTTGTACACATTTTAATTAAAATTCATTGAAACAGGATGTTATTTAACAGTTTATTCTATTTATTTATTTTTTTTAATTTTACAACAATAAATAACAACAGGTTACGGTACTAGTATGCAGTATTCCAGTATGGTTTGACTAAACAATGTCTTTGTTGGTCCCTGTGCTATCAACAATCCTATTATGTGGGAACAATGATTGTTTGAAGAGCGCCATCTATAGTTAGTTTCAGACTATTGATGACCTCATGGGTCCACACCCAATCCTCAATCATTCCAAGAAGCCTCATTGGCTGTGGGACTTTTTCGTATTGCATCATGGGTAATTTATAGTATCCAAACCCACATGATGATTCCTTATTGTGTCCTTGGCTATAAGTGAAAAGTCAGGTTGTTTCAAAATCTATTCATCACTGGTGGGACACTGACTTTGGCTGTTTTCTCATTTGTATGCCCTTTTTCTGTGCTGAATATGTAGGTATTACGTTTTAATTTACCTGTTTGTGTTTTTTTGCTTGTTTCTTTCACATCATGTCCATTAAACTGTTGGAAATGCATTTGTTTACAAAAATTTAGGGCACAAAGCTATGCCTTAAATGTGAAAAATGCTGTTTAGATGAGGAGAAGTTACCAATGTTGATTGTTTGTATTTATTAGCCTTATTGAAAATTTCCAACAAATTAACTTTTTTTTTTTTTGCTTGCGCGCTTCACATGTACATGTTTGTATTTTGAGTTTGATTGCTGTGGTTCAGGTCTAATGACACACTATTTTGTAATTTAAACTGAAGCAGGTGCCAAACCCGAAGGCATTTCATCTTTTTGTGCTTTGGAAATGTGCACGTGACAAAAACACATGTATATAATTCCCCTAATATTGTATGGCTCTGATTGATACCAAGCTCTAAGACACTTTTCATCTGGACCTATAATCCCTTGATATTTTTTACATCTCAAAACACTGGCATTTGTTCTATTTACCAAACTGGTTGTATACAAAAGACACAATACAAAGATGTCATACTCACGCGCCTCTCACCTACCATTATGCAAGTTCTGTTTTGTAGCCGATTTTATTTTGGAATTTACTGCGTTTCAAAGAAAATTATTCCCGTCTCTGGTTAATTTCATTTATGTCAATTTTTGTAGCTGTTGAAAAGTGTTTGTTTCTGTGGTCAAACATAAGAAATTTTTAACATCAATTTTTTTTCTTGCATTAATATATTTTTTTTTAATTTCCAGTTTTAAAAGTTAAAAATATTTTGCCTTTTTTTTTTGGTGAAGTTTTTTTTCAAAAAGCTTTGGGTCTAAGTTTATGAATTCTGTTTTTAAGCATTAGTTTTGTCTTCCATAATGTACATTGTACTGTGAAAATACATACATTGGCTCATACTCTTTGCTCTGAACATGACACTGACCATGTATGTATATATATTAACGATCAAACAAAATACAGGAAATTTACACAATTTCTGAAGTTGTTGACAAAATGTGCTTGTAGATACAAGTTTACTTTTCCAAGAATGATTGATAAATATAGTTTATTTTGCTTTGTACCAGGCAGTACTTGGGTAGCTGCATTTAGTATCGTGTTAGTCCCAAAAAAAACCAAATCATTGTTTTTGATAATGATCTAAAAAAAATAATGCGTAGATAGGAAGAAATTTTTATATTATTTTATTTTTTTATTTTATTTTCCCCAACGAGTTGTACTCATAGGTTTTTGTGAGAATATAATGATAGTTCAACTACCTATGTGAAAAATGACATCTGAGTTAGCTTCAGAATATATTCCCTTAATACAACTAACTACTAGTCATTCACAGCAAGAAGAAAGAAATACATTGGCTGAAAGACCATAGCTAATCTGCATAGAAATAAATGATTAAGATCTTATTTGCATAAAATAAACTTTTTAATTTAAACCTCCAAAATAGGTAGGTAGGGTTACCGGAAACACAGAATTGTTATTTAGCGTTACCTATATAGTTGTTTTTATATGTGTGTGTTTTGGCCAATGATATACAAGCTGAAAGTCCCAACAACATTAAATATGCAACAAATTAACTATGAAGTAAGCTAGACGACAATTTGATTGGCCGAAATTCCCCAATTTGACTAGAGTGGTATAACGCTACTTAAACCACATGTGAAGTATACACTCATGGTTTATATGGTACGTAAACAGCTGCATTTTAGTCGTTATTAATGTTCCCGATTCGATTATTTATGAACCATAAAATTTCTGAAAATCACAGTGACACCCTTTCTTAAGTGTCGTTACTGCCATTGTTATTACTGTAAAATCTGTATTAGGCTTCTATTAAAATGGTACAATGCAATAGAGGGGATGCGACCTCTATTAGAGCATCTACACATATGAGAAATGATGAATTTTTGTTCTCAATTGTTTAAAAAAAATGGGTGCGACTTCTATTAGGGATGCAGCTTCTAATAGAAATTTTATGGTAGTTGTGTACTCGTCTACTTGAATCGGACACAAATATCATTTCAAGTCTTTTTGCCATAGATTAAAACTTCACATTACAGTTTGTTTGGTCTCTTTTTGTGTTTCGGTTTAATCTAAATTTATATTGTATTTACTTAGCGATTTTCAATGTACTTAAAAGGAATACTTGTTTTTAAGTACAGGTATTGCTTTGATTAGACAGTGGCACGTACTTGTCAACAGTTATCTTGTTGAACATTACTACTGGTAGTACTTGTATTAATTGTTTACATACGTATACGTTGCCTGAAAGCATAAACGCAATGTGAGAGTGAGACGAACAAATCAACGATGAAAAATTTGGTTTTTGAATTCCCCAAGATCGAGGAGAGCTGCTCGTTTAGATGATACCTCTCATCCAAACATCTTGTTTTAAAAAAAAAATGTAATTACATTCTTGGATTTGTTATTTATTTCTATTAATCATAAAGTCATGTGCATCTCACTGATGCATGTATGTTAACAAGATTTTGAGTAATTTGAAGTGAAACTGATTCACTTTATCAGTTGAGCATCTTAAAAACATAACATACATTCATCGTCAGGTTGGCTCAATACACAGGGATCTCCCCTGACAAGAGCTTCCCACAATCATAGTTCTCCAGTGTTCGTATTAAAAGCATTTTTATTAGCCAATTGCAAACCCAATTGATGTTGCTATAAAGACCACTTACCTACATGTGTAGGCGTTACTAGAGTGTGGATCAAACCCTGTATATTTATTCCTCAAGAGACTTCAAGTGTCTTTAGGAATCAATCCTGATTTTTATTGATTTCTCTTTCATTGTCCTCCCTATTGCAAATTCTGTAACGATGATGAGATATTTTTCCTCTGCAACTTTTTCAGTGGTATTGTTTTCTATTAAGTCAATGACACCCCGGAGAGGGATCATATCTAGTTGCATCATCGGAAACCTCTGTGTGTCAGTCAGTGACACATTATACTTTTTATCTTAGAGGGCACTGACCAACAACAAACATCAACATTATAAACTAAAAAAAATCACTGTTAACTAAACATTGACTGATGAACATGTTCAAGATGGTGTAGATTACACATTCGTTGAGCAATATATGTTCTAAATTTACAGATGGCCTTCATATTTAAATATATCCTACAAGGAAATGTTTTTCTTTCTAAATATGAAACATGACTCAGAACGGAAGCAAGGATAAAATGATGTTAATGAAAAAACAATGTTATATGTACCAGCTATATATTACTATGACTGAATTAATCTGCGAACAAAAGAGCATCTGTCGATGCTTAGCATGCACGTTTGAACATGTTTGATTTTAAAATAGCAATGATGAAATCATCTCCACCTGCTTCATTTTAATGTGTGTGAGGCTGGTTAATGAGAGTGGATTTTTAGATAAAATTAACCTATTTTATAAATTTGTTCTTTGCTTTTTTTTTTGCAGAATTTTTTTTCCTAAATACTGAAAATTTTTAAAAAGGTGAGTATATTTAAAAAATTTTTCTACATTACCAAGATTACGGGGACTAGGCTAATCTGGAGGAGATTTGAAGAGCAGCATAATGAATTTTATCATTTTAACTAAAGTAAAGATATTTGTTATTGTAACTTTTTAAGATTATGTTGTATAACATGTACAATGTATGCGTTTGTTTTCTAAAATACATGTACATGTTATTCCCATAGTCTGTGTGCAGTTCATGTGTCTATGAAATTTATACATTTGCTCTCAATAATGAAGGTCAAATTGTACAGCTGGTGAAATTTATGCAAATCTTTATCGGAAATTAATGTATCATGTTAAATCTATTTGTTTATTATCTATTTAATATGGACACCAGGTGCACAGACTAGATCATCTGTACGATTGTTTATTTATTCCGCTGTGCGCCAAAGTCAACTTTTCTACCCTTTCTCAAAATACAACCTGCCTAATTCTTTCCACAATTTGGAAAATCATTTAAAAAATTACAGAAAAGTAGGCACAATTTTACACCAAGATTTTTTGGGAAAAATGATTCAACTAAAGGTTAACTAAATTAATTAAATTTTCACTAAAACAAATTCTAGTATTACTACTAGAAAAAAAATTGAATTCCAGCTACTGTTGCACTGTATTTAATATGATTCCCAGACATGTATGACAGACATTACTGTTAGAGCAAACATAAGATTTATAGCTTTCAAAATCACAAGGAAGGTGCGACATTGCTCACTTTGAAAATTGCAAGTTTTTATGAAAAGGCGACGTCAGCTGAAAGCCAGATTGAGAGTTAAAGACATCCTCCACTGTAATATATACAACATGTGTGAAAACTTATTGTTTATTTAAATTATTAAACATTATTCCTGTGATACATGTAGAACGCCCAAAATTATGTACAGTATAAAAAATATGTTTTTAAAACTTCTGATATGGCTCTGCTGGGCTGCTGTATTGTGGTGCCATTTACCACTTGATGTTTAATAGTGTAACTATTGTATCACAAATCTCATCACTGGAAATGATATCTTTTCTCACCCAGGAAATCATTAAACCATAACTGCCAATATATATCTCATTTCAAAACAAATGTGTGAATTTAAAATCAATAGTCTAGTTATTGCAGCAATTAAAAATTAGGCATTTATTTTTGCCTTTAATGAAAAGGAAAGCACATTGTATAATATGTCTTCGTTGTCATCGTCGTTGTCAACGTCATCGTTAACAGTTCTTGTGATTGCAATAACTCAAAAAGTTGTTATCCATTCGTTTACAAACTTAGACATTTCATACATTAGTATAAATTCTCGTCAAACATCAAATTGGTATGTGTTTATATTGCTTAAAATTTAGCATAAAAATCTATAGATCCAGAAGGTCTGAACTTGAAAGTTAAGTGAACACCCATTTTCAAGCCAAAATTAAGAAAATTGCCTCAGTATCATAGCAATAACCTTGGGCCTAAAAGCTATTTTCTTTGATCCATCTGTGAAGCTCAGTCCTTGATCCAGGTTAGATTCCCTGAGTATACCAGTAGGCACTAGAAAGTTGTTTTTCCAATGACACGACCAACATAATCAACCAATTTATATTTTGTACTAACACAGATAATACAAAGATGGCCAGTAACCGGCCAACCTCCACAACTACTACGACTGAAGAGGGAGCACAAAATGAGTTGCCACCAGATACCGAAGAGAACGTTAGCGAACAAGCTGAGGGCATAATCCGTAATTTTATGTTTCAACGATTTCAAACAGACTTCCAACAAGACAGTGAGACGCCATCAGTGCCTGAATTCCAGGGATTCACCACGAACCCGCTCAGGTTAGTTTTATGTCTGAAATTTGGTTTCTAGGTACTCCTTATATTTTCTGTACTTGCGTACAGGTAATAGGATTGTTCTTTACATTAGACAGGATGGGGACAAGGATTTGAGATATAGCAGAGGCAGTACTGACCTTACTTTTTACGATGATTAATAACTGATTATCTCTCATCAAATTCAGACAGTTTTGAAGAGATTTGGCTTTGTTCAAGAGAGATATTTCTAGATTGGCAGCCATGTGCCAGTAAAAAAATTCAGGTGAAAATATAATTAACATAAAATAAAATAAATCTGCATGAATCTCATGTCATAAAGATGTGTGTTTACATGATCAACGTCAATTTTTGGAGACCCCCCCCCCCCCCCGTATTTCTTTGTGTACGCAAAATGGGTAATAATTGTAATGAATCACTTATCTCAGACACCAGATCACTTTTTTTTTTCAGTCCAACAGCAGAGGTTGGAAGAAGACTGGCACAGATTGGGGATGATATCAACGCACGCTATTCTGGTGAGTTTCGGCACATGATCAGAGCGTTAGACATCACGCCGACAACAGCGTACGAGCATTTTGCAAACATTGCCAGAAAGTAAGTCCTTGAATTGAATACTTCGTTGTTGTAGATGGGGACTACATTTTGTAGTGTAGAATAAGAAATTTGAGTACTGACTTTAAAGGGCGGT